GCTATCGTCCGACTCCTCGCTCTCCGCCTCCGAGGCCGAGGTTGAGGACGAGGGCGAGGAGCAGGAGGCGGAGGGGAGCGAGTAGCAGGCGTCCGAGTCGGAGTCGGGGTCGAGCGCGGGCGGCGAGAGCGGGGCGCGGCGCGCCGTGTGCGCCTCGAGCGGGGCGAGCGGCACGCCGTGCGCCAGCAGCGGGTCGCGGCGCGGGCTGTAGCGCGGCACGCGCAGCCGCAGCCGGCGCGCCACCGCCGCCATCACCGCGTCGCAGCGCGCGTTGATCTTGAGCGCGGCCACGGCGTCCTTGGGCGTCCACTGCAGATTGACTATGTAGAGGGCGGGGCGGGCGTGAGGCGCGCGCTGCATGCGCCACAGCCGCGGGTAGCGGCGCAGCACCTTGAGGCTGGAGCCGAGGCAGAGCACGACGTCGGCGGCGGCCGCGTGCCGCAGCGCGCCCGCCCAGTTGAGCGGCCAGGCGGCGCGGCCCCGCTCGCCGAAGTGCACGATGGTGTCGCGCAGCTCGCGGCCGCACGTGTGACAGAGACGGCGCGTGCCGTGCGCGTGGCGCGCCGTGCGCTCCGTGGTGTCGAAGGTGCGCAGGTAGACGCGCCGGCACGCCGCGCACTGCTCGGCGAACATGTCGCCGTGCAGCTCGGCGAGCGCGCGCCGCGGCAGGCCGGCGCGCAGATGCAGCCCGTCGCAGTTCTGCGACACGACGAACTTGAGCACGCCGCTGGCCCAGAGCGCCGTGAGCGCCATGTGCGTGAAGGTGGGCTGCGCGCGCGTCACCTCCACCCGCCTGCGACACGACACAACTTGCATCATGTGAATGCGTATGCTGTGCTCGCTAACATGCTATACTTTAATCCCACCAAAACAGTGTTGAAAACTTATAAATGGGTCGGTATAGATCCAGAGGCATCCAAAACCTACACAACACAAGCGTACACATATAGATGTAACAACATCACACACAATAACAAACTTTTTCAGTAATTTGTCTTTACATTTGAATTTGAACATAGACATATTATTTATACCAAAGATTTATGAGGAGCATGAATTGGTGCCAGTGGTGAGCACGTGTGGGGCGAGGCAGGGGGTGAGGTGGAAAGGAGGCGGAGGATGGGCAGAGGACGAGGTGGAGAGAAGGCGGAAGCGAGGCGCTCACCCGACGGTCTCGCCGCGTTGCAGCCGCGTCCAGACGCCGTGTGGGCCGCGGTAGTCGGGTATGTCGGCCGCCGTACTGATGCCCGCGCCCGTGTACACCTGCAATAACAATCCAACAATTACCTTAACAGGTTTAATTTGCAGCAACATATTATACATAAATAGCATTTGGTGTTGGTGCTTCACCTCTAAGGAGATAAAAATATGATATTCTTATATGCCTTGCAAAAATAAGTTAGAAACAGGTGGCAGTTGATTCAAAACAAAAACACAATAGTCTAGGACTAAAATGGATACAAACTAATGCCAGCTGTAAGATGCCAGCCATTACCTACTTATCAGTCAAGTAATAAGTGTTGGTTATTAACATGGTACTGTACAGTAATCATCATCAATTCACTATATGTTCCCACCAAGGGCTCAGGGCCTACCAAAATAGGCCATAGTGAACCACTGTGGCCCAGTGCTGGTTGGTTGACTTCACACATATCTTTGAATTTCTTCTCAGATATATGCAGTAATAGTTGTTGTACAAACACATGTTGTGTAAAATTCTATCTACCGCTTCATATATTTTATATTAAATATTAAAAAAAAATTGCATTGTCATCAAAAATCTGACAACAGAAAGTAGTTCCAATTTCATATACAAGATTTACATAAGATATACCTGGAAATAATAATAAAAATTGTAAGAATTGAAGGTATTATCATTATTTTACCAATCTTGTCATATATGATTTATGTCCTAGTCTCAGGGCTTGGAGTTTACCCAAAAATGGGATGATTAGGCTATAGTCAACCACAACAATCATTAATTTATACCCACATTTAAAAGACGACATTGTCATTCTTTACACATTTGATAGATTTTATATGAAAAAATAAAACAAATATATTTGACGAGAAGCGGACAGTATTTTGGGATAAAACTGGCTATGCGCTATTTCAAATTATAATATGTGTCAAATTTCTTCCAAATGTGTGTTGCTGTTTTGGATACTTGTTAACAATCATCCATCCACTAGTCCTACAAAAACATTCACACATATTTGTAGGTGTACGAGCAAATGATTGTTAATCTATATAATTGAGATGGGTATTGTTGGTGATCATGGATGGGATGGCATTGAAACATATATGTTTCATCGATAATTAACAAGAGACATGATTGTGAAGAACTAACCACGAGGTGTTTAGCTTCCTTGACGGCGCGGGCTAAGCGGCGGCACTTCTCCCGGAGTACACGGGGGCTGTCCTCAACCTCGCGAGCACGCTCGGCAGCGCGAGCGCGGCGCGCAGCTGCGGCGGCTCTCGCTGCGGCGTCGGCCGGCGCGCTGCGGGCGGCGGTGTGCTGCTCCGCCCGCGCGGCGCTGCCGCTCAGCCTTGCGCTGCTTCTCACACCACCGCCCATGCTCCTGTTGCTACCCAGCTTCACTTTGCCACTGCATTCCGCTTATGCGCACTCTTACTTGGAACTTTTCGCTTCTAGTATTTCGTCTTTGTGTCACAAAATCTGTATATTATTGTATTTCATTTACACTATGTATCTGTCAAAACAAAATGTCAAGCTCAACTCAAGCTGATCAAGCAAACTTAAATTCTCCATGGTCTCTAATCACCAATATCGTTCTGTCTCCTTTTCTCAAACATCTTACACCTATATGCGCTGCAATGCTCTAGGTAAAATAGGGATGTGTTAATTGAACAACTGTGCAACATATAAACTATTACCCGTTGACCGTTTTTATTTAACAATATTTTTTGAAAAATACTTATTTCGTCACCTTTCATGAAAAACTGATAAATTAAAAACTATAATGTCTGCATGTGTTGCATGAAAAGTGGTAAACTGGTACTATTTTGTCATGAGAATTGAAAAAAAAGCTATTGTAAGGTAAATAAAAGAAAAAATTGTTAAATTTTTATTTTCGTTCGACACTATGTTAATTTCAATAGTTGTTTGACATAAGGCTAACATTTGATTACTTGAAGTTTTTTTAATCAACTCCATCCCTAAGTGACATTGACAATTTCTTTTCCAAAGTTTGACAGGTTGGTTTAGTTGTTATTGCTCGATTTTACATTAAAATCTGTGAAAATCTTGAATTTAATAAAGGTTTTACAAATTTTTATGATATAAATAAAAAGTGTATACGTTGCGTTTTCTATTTTTGATTATATTTTTAAAGTTTTTTGTTTGTTTTCAGCTTAGTGGAATATATCGCTCAAGATGGTAAGATTCTTTTATAATTTAATGATTGTTTGAATTAGGCTATTTCATAGTTATGATCCAAAATAAGTAACTAATAAGGCTTACATTTTTTTAAGTATTTATCGTAATTATAGCTTATATGTTGCTGATTTGCGAATTCTGACTTGTGTTTGACTGAGTGCTAAAAAAATATTATTTTTATTGCAGCCACGTGAAATTAAAGACATCAAAGACTTTTTGCTAAAAGCCCGCAGGAAAGATGCAAAATGTAAGTTTATATTGAATATTGGAAGTAGTTTAGACAACTATTTATGTAAATATATGTACCATTTTTGTTTAAGCAATAAATCATTTTTCATTTCAAATTTACTACAACTAATTAGCCGTTGCTCCCCAATTACACATAGAGTTATGTCAAAATGTCAAAAACAACAAGATTCAAATATATACTATTTAGTAGATAACAAGCACTTTTTATTAAATATGTTAAGCGGCATTGCAAATAATTGTCAGTACCACTTACTGTTTCACAAGTGTCAAATTAACCACCTACAGAAACATTGAGAAAGGTTGAAATGTTTGAGAATTTGGTTTGTTTTGTAATGTCCTGTTTAATGATAATGTAATTACAATTACAAAAAACTTAACATGTACGCTACATGTTCTTCCAGACTATTTTCTACATATGTGCCAAATATCATCAAGATCCACTGACTCGTACCAGAGATACCTTCAAACAAGCATCCATCCAACCATTAAACATTGCATTTATAATTATAGTAAGATAAACATCTGGTTTAATCTGAAAAATCAAAATTATTTTCTTCATCCAAAAAAAAGTACATAGTGAAATATTTAGTAAATACAAAAGCTGCTGGCATATTGACAAAAATTTAAGTTACATTTGTTGTTATTTCTATTTCTGTGAAATGTGAATGTAACCAAACTGTTGAATTTTCCAGCTGTTAAGATAAAGAAGAACACAGAAAATGTGAAGTTCAAAGTACGCTGTTCGCGATTCCTGTACACGCTGGTCATCACAGACAAGGAGAAGGCAGAGAAACTGAAGCAGAGTTTGCCCCCAGGTGTGTATCCCCTTGTTTTCGTTATTTAAGGAAATTTCTACATGCATTTGAGTAGCTGTAATGTTTCATGCAACTTCTATGCTAGTTATCTATTGTCCAGTTAGCAAAGTTTATTTTAAAAAAAAATTTGGAGACTACCGTTTATTTGGTTTGTCAATATTTAGGTATTCCAAAGGTTATGTTTATTATAAAGGTATAGTTGTGGATTAGAATATTTTTAATTTAATTTATATTTTTTTCACAGGATTTTTTTGCTATTAAAAAAAAATCAGTGAATAATAAAGTGTATGGCCAATATAAATATAAATGACAAGTAAATACTGGGGTTTAGTTCATAGTTGTATGTATATTGATTAGTGTTAATCTTGTTTCAGGTCTGCAAGTAAAAGAAGTAAAGTGATGAGGTTAAGTTAATGTAATAAATAATATAAAAACCCACATAAAGTTTCATTTACTTTGTCCTAAACTTGTGTCACACTCAAAGCCGATGACTAAAAGAGCTGACATATTGGATTCTGTCTGTGTACTATTTGTCTCCACTCGTTGTCAGTCACAACAGAGGTCTCCTAGACTGGGGTGATGGTGGGATGGGGGTCAGGTGGAGGAGTTCACAAGTGTGAGATAACTCTTGCTACATTTTTAAAATGCTGAGGTATAAACCTTTAAGTAGTACTTTTCAAGTTCAAATTTGCCGAAATTTATACTAATTGCAGCTGTCCACCTGTTTGTTGCTTGTGATTACTCAATATAATAAGACATTTTGCTTTTCCTTTTTATATTCATATTGAAACTATTCAATTTATTAAGATATTCTTTGTATTGGACAAAGGAGTGATGTTAATAGGCGAGAGAGAAGGGATACTAAATATTATTATTGTAGAGTGGTAAAGTAATATTGACTGCTCACAATTTGAGTTCCACTCTGTACAACGTCGCGAAATGCTCGGTCACTTGAGTGACGATGAGGGTTAGGGATATTATATACAAAGTTAATATGATGTGATCGTGGCTTTTTATAAACAAATTTCTCATAAAATATGAAAAACAAAAATTTGCGAGATGTCATGTAAAACCTAGTTATTTGAGTTAGTGTCTATTATAAAGCCTTAGCAATTGGATGAGACCAAAATCGTCTCATGTAATTGCAAAGGGTAGGCTATTTTGTTTAGAGTTAACGCAATATGACATATATGACACTTGTACATCAATAATTAAAGTTGAGTCCATTAAATGTAAATTAATTATCTATTTATATTTAAGATTTCGAACTACACTAAAGCTATTTTTTACCCACAACGACTTTATAAGGGTGTGAGAAGTGCCGTGAAGAGCTTTAATAAAATTAATTTTATTGCTATTACTAAGAATTTTCTGCAAATTCAAGTTTGAGCTGTGAGCTTTCACCAAATTGGTTGCTTAAAACTCAGAAAACTTTGCTTTGAGTTCCAATATAATTTAAATATAGCTAGAAAAAGTGCGCAATTCGCACTTTTGCTTTTCGATTTCTTCCGCCACTGTGAGGGAGAGTGATATTTTCATACGTGTAATCTCTGAACACGTCCCGTTCACATAGTTCGGGTGCGATTTTTTAACTTCCATTTTAACAAGACCTACTCTATAAGTATTTTAACATCGCGGTGACGGTGGGAAGCTTTGATGTAAATTGCTGTTTGTCAGTTGCTTTGTCAACGGCCGTGAGCGTAGCGGCCTCAGACGAATCGCGCTGAACTGAGCTTTTATGAAGCTGAGGCAGCAGCTGAACGCACGTGGAGAAACATGTGCGAGCCGACCATTGGTGAGTGCTCAATGCTCCCTGGCTAACTGCTGCTCTGCTCAGGCCTCACACTGCTCGCTCAGTATGCGCGCGGCCGCCGCCGCGATCGGGTGTGTGTTCAATCGTGTCTTGTTGATGTCGGTGCCGCGATGTCGCAGTGTGTTTGTATCGTGTATTACTTGACAGATTTATAAGAGCGACTGTGAGTAAATAATTTTTTATTTAAAAATCAATCCCTGTTTCAGATACATATTAAATTTCGCTTTAGAGATTTCCACAAAAAATAAGGTTGAAACGAGATTTTCTTTTAAAAATTGTATACGCGGAATAGCAATTCATAGATGTTTTTAAGGTATGTATAAGAATATGAAAGATTAATTAAAAAACCAAATCAGTTTCCCGCTATTTTTGAAATTATTTTCTGTTCGTCAAAACTGTTGAGTTTTGTTATTCTGTGTTCATTATTTTTCTGTGTGCGTGTGAGTGTGTGTGTGAGGGTGTGTGTTAACTTTGATGGCAATAATGAAGCTTGAGAGAGATTGAGAGGTTCCTCACATGTAAAAGTGAACAGATGGACGTCGCCACATAAGTCTATTTCTGGAGACGCGGACTTAGCATGTCCAAATATTCAATCAGAGTAGTCTGTAACGAGTGCAGTAGTAGAGAGTAGTCAGTGAGCTCGCCTCAGCAGGAAGGATATCGCAGCAATGACTTCTTCAGCGTGGACGTTTTGCTTTGTTCAGATATATGTATTTAGTTGTTAAGCACTGGAGTGAACTTATACTTATAACTTAACTATTGGCCATGGGTTCGATTCCCGCCATGGCTAACCTCTGATCTGATGTCTTTCAAAAAGTACTTTACAAAGAGAATATTTTAATTGCAAGATGGAATCACAAGAAAACAATTGCTAACAAAAGCTCAAACAAAAGTAATTTTAAAACTTAACCTTAAAATAAACAAACATAAAGACGATTTTAAGAAAAGCAAACGTTTCGTAGATGAAGCAATTTCGTAGATGATATGAGATACCAAATTAAAATTTCTCGCTCATTTAGACGAGGCATCAAGCTTTGCCTGGAAAAAAGAAAATTGATTGAAATCAATTCAACGTACAAATCAATAAATAAAACAAATTCGCCAATAGCCTAATGGTTAAGGGTACAGATTTCCGACCACATGGCCGAGAGTTTGAATCCCACCATTCGACTATTGTCATAAACCATGTTCTTTCACAAGGCTAGAGCTTACTTGGAGTGTTACAAAAAATATTACAAAATAAACAAAAATATACAAATACTTTATTTTAAAAAAAAATTATTAAAATTAACACTTTTTGATAGGCAAGTATCGTAGGGATTTTAGATAAAAATATGTCCCATCTGGTAATGAGAAGGGTGTCACTTTGAGCGAAGTGGAAGAGGCTGATTAGATACGGGCTAAGCAGAGAGAGAGAGAGAGAGAGAAAGACAGGGAGGTTGTGGGCCAAACGTTGGCTTATTCAATAAAAAAATAAATGAATGAATATGAAACAAAATTTAAGGTTGCAGTTACGCGATGCGTGCATGGCGCCTGGCCACCGCGCTATTGCTAACGGCCGTCGCGCCCGCACCCCGTGCTGCGCCCTCAGTGCTCCACGCGGCACCTGCGGCACACCCCTGCGCCGCCAACGGCCTTTGCCTGTGCCGATCTGACCATATCGCCTGTGACGCCGTCCCCTTCCACAGGTTCCCTGACACGGGTACAATATAATAAATATAATATTAGTTCCGTTAATGTGTTAACCGGAATGCGTATTGTAAGAAGTGAGGTGTAAGTTGTGGGTTGTGGCGCAGAGGCGGGCGTGCGGCACGTGGCGGTGTCGCGCGCTCGGCTTGGTGCGCTACAGGATGCGGCGCTCGACGGCCGGCGTCTGCGCACGCTGGTGCTCGTCGCCTCTGGGTTGCACCACATCGAGTCAGCCGCTCTCACGTCAGTACATCATTTTCCGCTTTATATTTGTAGTAGTAGCATTAGTGTAGTCCAGTAAAAGCGGCTCTCCTCCCCAGGTCCATGGAGTCGACGCTGGCTTCGTTGGATTTGAGTTACAACGAATTCACGAACGTTCCTATAGAAGCGCTCCGAAATCAAAAAGTATTAAATTGGCTGAACCTACAAAAGTAAGTAGGAAACGATAATCACAGTCGAAGCCAACGAATGTTTGTCACCTATGTATACGGGGTGATAACAATGCTTATATTTGTTGCAGCAACCTCATTGCCGAGTTAGATCCACAAATGGAGTGGGGTTTTTTGTCAGACTCCTTGAGCAGCTTGTTGCTTAGCAACAATCAGTTGAGCTTTATCCGCGAGGGGACGCTGACGTCGTTACGGCAGCTGGCCCAGTTGGAACTGGACGGCAACAGGCTGCGACATATCGAGGCAAAATCACTGCCGGCCTCGCTGGCGCTGCTGCGGCTGTCGGCTAACCTGCTGAGCACAGTGCCGTGCGCTGCACTGACCTCGCTTGCCCGCCTTCGCCATTTGCATCTGCGCAACAATGCCTTGTCAGCGACATTCGCTGCGAACCGTTCTTGCCGCGCCGAGGGTTACCGCATAGACTCTCTCGACCTCAGTCACAACGACCTCACAGATGAGTTCCAATTCGCGTTTACACAAGGTCTACAATTGAAGCAACTCGCTTTAGATCTTAACGATTTCACATCTATTCCTTCTTTCGTTTTTGAATGTGGCCGAATAGAGAAACTTTCGATCTCATACAACGAAATTACCCACCTTTCGGAAACCGCGATTCTGACGCTGAAGCATGATCTCGAGCGGTTAGAGATAGATAATAACAAACTAACATCTCTTCCTCGTAGCTTGCAAGAGCTGACGCGACTGCGCCACCTCTCGCTGTCGTATAACGAACTCCGGGAAGCGGATTGGCTGCCGCCTCAGCTTCGATACCTTTCACTGGCTGGAAACTATTTGGAGGGATTTCCGCTGTCCCTGAATACATTAGAGCCTGCGACACTTCGTTACCTCGACATAGGTTATAATCGTATTACGCACGTGTCATCAGAATGGTTCGGGCCGTGGTCGGGCGCGCTCAGCACGCTGAATGTGCGCGGGAACCGCATCTCGCAGCTGGCCGGAGACGCGTTCCCCGCGGCCTTGCCGCTCACAGAGCTAGTTCTTAGCTTCAACGATCTTTACTACGTGGAATCGAGTGCCTTCGCTAACTTGACCTCCCTGCGCGTGCTGGAACTCTCCTCGACGCTTTTCAGCGGGGAAGTGCCTTCGGGTCCCGCCTTCCAGGACCTCAAATGGCTTACTTTAGATAATAATAATATCCATTTCTTTTCTTCAAACGATATGAAATTCTACAATTCTTTAGAGTACCTAAATTTAGACTTTAATAAGCTCCTGGAATTTCCGAGCCAAATGTTAGAAACGAAAACGTCCTACAGACTGAAGGAACTGAGACTGTCGTACAACTACATTGCGAGGGTAAATCCTGTATTTCTGACGAGTCTTTCAGATTTACACAGCCTGGACCTTTCTTACAACCGCGTACATAACGTGAGCGCACGAACCTTTTCTAAATTAAATAATCTCATTTACTTGAGTCTAGTTGGTAACGCTATTGAAATAATAGCTGACAACGCCTTCAGCGATCTGATTAAACTTGAAATTCTAGATTTACAAGAAAATAATTTAGTCGAATTTTCAACACGATTTTTTCGGAATGTTTCCAACGAAGAAAGTAATTTCTCGATAAACGTCAGCCACAATATGATCACGGCGCTCGTCGGGGGACCGAATGTGTTCATAAGTATTTTAGATTTGTCTCATAATTTAATCGAAACAATATCTAGATCTTTTTTTGATTCATTTTCTAAGCATGTTCGTCAAATTTTACTTTCTCATAACAGGCTCGTCCACATAGACGCCTCGGGCTTCGGGCCCCTGCCGCGGCTCCTGACCCTTGACTTGCGTCACAATAATATCACTACCATTAGACGAAAATCTTTTGCGGAACTTGTCTCACTTCAAATATTGGACTTGTCAGATAACAGATTAAATCAGCTCTCCGTCGAACAATTTCACAATTTACAAAAGTTACGTCACCTTCGATTAGAGTACAACGAGCTTCGTGCCCTGCCTCGCGATTGCTTTAAGAACACGCTCCTAGAGAGTCTCGAGCTAGGCAACAATCGGCTCGCGCTGTTCCCGAGTACTGCGCTGGCGCAAGTCGGGTTCACGCTGCGCCGCTTGCACCTGCCGGCCAACCGGCTCGAGCACCTGGACGCCGCAATGTTCCATGACATTCCTTTCTTGCACGAATTAAATCTTGCGCACAACGCGCTCACTGTGCTATCGGACAATACGTTCTCCGGCCTATCGCGGCTGCAACTTCTCGACCTCTCATATAATCATATAAAAACGAACTATAAAGAACTGTTCCACAATTTACCGCGCCTACGTCGTCTCGCGATGGCAGGCATTGGACTGAGAACCATACCTCACATGCCCCTCGTAAATCTCACAGAACTGAATTTAAATAATAACTTAATCACGTCGTACCAAGAAGTCGTGGTGCGCCACCTGGCCGACCTGAGGGCACTCGACCTCTCGCGGAACCACATCACGTCGCTGCGGCCGGCCATGTGGGCCGCTCTGCCTCGCCTCGCAGCTCTCGATTTGTCCTCCAATCCTATAGTTCGCATCACGTCTGGCGCCTTCGACGGTCTACATCGTTTGCTTCATTTACGTCTGGACAATCTTCGAAATTTGGACGCTGTGGAACCGCGCGCTTTCCGCACGCTGGCGTCGCTGCGCTCGCTCGGGCTCGAGTCCCCCGCGGGTAAAGGGCGCGGGGCGGCGACGCTGGCCGACATCACGGCGGCCGTGCCCTGCCTAGAGATGCTGACAGTGGTGGTGCGCGTGGCGTCGCTCGAAGCGCAGCTGTGCGGCGTGCACGCGCCCCGCCTGCGCATACTTGAGGTACGCGGCGGCACGCTGCGGAGCGTGGCAGCGGACGCTTTCGCAGCGCTCGGTCGGCAGCGCGCGCTCACGTTGCGCCTGAGCGGCACGGGCGTGAGCTCGCTTCCGGCGGGGTTGGCGAAGCCGCTAGCGCGCGTGCCGCACCTCGCACTCGACCTAAGCGACAACCGCCTCGTCAGCTTCAGCCCCGCCACCTTGTATCCCAATCTTACCGACTGGAATAGACTTGCGACAAAACTTCTACCGGGTAAGGAGCAAGCAAAATATCTTTCTATAATAAAATAAAAATAACCAATGATTACGTCTGCGCGACTGAAGAACGAGTAAGATGAAATAAAAATCGTTAAGAGATCTTGTTTATAAATAACTACTGCGACTCCGTCCGCGCGGAATAAATAAATTAGTAGCCACCGTGTTCTTCCATGCTATGTTCTACATCTATGGCAACTTTCTGCAAGGCCCATACAGCCGTTCTGGAGATACGTTATACCAAACATTATCATACCATACCATCCATCCAAACATTCGCATTTATAATATTGGCCTCCACTGGCAACCGAGGCGGCACATGGCTCATCTTCAGCTTGGTTAATATAATTATTTTTATATGTGAGGCGGCTTGGTGCTGGCGGGCAACCCGCTACGCTGTGGCTGCGCGGCCTCGTGGGTGGGCGCGTGGCTGCGACGTTGGACGGCCGAGGTCGGCGGCGGCGGGCGCGGCGCACGGGCGGCGGCAAGACGCAGCCACTGCCGCCCAGCCGGCCCGCTCGCCGCCCCGCGACCTCTGCTCGCGCTCGTCGCCGACGACGCGGAGTGTCACGCCAGCGCGCTCGCAAGCGCCGCGCTGCGCCCCGCACCGCGCCCCGCGCCCCCTCTCCTCCTGCTGCTCCTGCTGCTGCTGCTCCTGCTCCCGCACAAACTTATTTATGAAATGATAATATGCAGCTAGTGAATTCAATATATAAGAGTGAATAAAAGAACTGTGCGAGTGTTAGATATCGTGGAAGTGTAACAAAATTGTCACTAAAGAAACTATGCTTAAAACTTTTGTGGTGGCACGAGGGCAGCAGCAGCTCCATGTGCGGGAACCGGAAGTCAATGAAAAAATCGATCAAACAACGAAATAATATAATATTTAATTATTTTGTAAAAATGTTTTGTAAATTCTTAGTAGGGTTTTCCATTGCCGTGACACTTGTATTGACACCCTTGTTCCTCATGACATCACTCACATTATGTTTGAACATACAGAGACAAGGATACGTGTCAATACAAGTGCCAAATGTATTTGAAATAAACATTGAATAGATATTTTATATAATACATATCATATTAGCCTTGGCCTTGGCAGAATATATATATTTAGTCGAACTTTTTTCGTACATAAAAGAGTACAAGTTAATCTATTTAATAAACATCGGTAAATCACAGATGTGCAATATATGTGGCCCTGGTAGTTGCCGTGACAGCGACGTGACGTAACGCTCAGCTGACTACTGTCAGGTACAGTCGCCTTCACTTCATTTGCGATATTCCACTCAAAGCAAAAATTACCTTTGATATAGCAACAGATTGAACAACTAAATCTTGGTTACGTGCATTGTGTCACTCACTGTACGGAGTACAAGTCAGTATAGCGAGCCTTTGACTGCGCTATATTACCCACGTTTTTCGTTCACAGACGCACATGTCCAACTGAGTGATGCTTAAATTAAATATATTATATGAAATGTACTCCGTTAACTACATTATAATATAATACTATGTGAAACATTATGTATGAAATTTAGTTGAGGCCGTTATGCTCTTGTAACATAGTAGAATCATCTGTGTACATTGTATGCCTTTGATATATTAAACTGAAACTCGTGTACGTTTGTTGTTGAAGTGATATAAATGGGCGCGCGGTCTTCTGACCACTCCTTGTAACTGTATGTGTGACTGTACACATACAGACATAGAATAGACATAATGTTTGTAAATAACAGGATGTGATAAATTGAATCAATAAATATTTTCATAAAATGTTTTTTTTTAATCCTACTCTGAGTTGACATTATTTGAATATATTTTCAAACATAATAAAAACGCATAAAATGCTGTATACAATAATGAAGTATTATAGAATCCTTGTTGTAACTTCGTGTAAATGAAATGAAATGAAATTGTGTAGTGTTGACAATATGATTACTGTTTCTCATGTTTATGTATTATATTTATGTATATGTTAGGTTGTATTCAATAATTTGCCGACTTGTATTAAATTTTTTTTGTTCACTGACAAAAATTAAAAGTGTATTTAAAATTCTCGTCTCTCCTCTTCGATGCGCTAACCAAAAAGTTATTTGAAACGTTCGTAAGGAAACCGCAAAATAATGCATTGCGCATTTTCAATTCCCGCAGAATAGTGAATCGATAGCCAAGACGGAAGACCCGTCGGAAGCACCATTATCAACGTCGGCGTGTAGCACAGGGAGCTCTATTTAAGCTGGTTTATATCGTTCCACCGCAGCACGGATTTAAAAAATATCCAAGCTTCAAAGACAATGCTAGCGATTGGCGGTTTGACCCGAGCGGGTTTGATTGCAGCCCCCTCCCCCCG